AACTGACATTATGTCCTAGAAATTGTAACTCATTCACAGAAAAAATGCACTTGTTATTAAGTTTCATACCACATTCACTGATGCAGTTGAGAACAGTATGCAAGTTAGCATCGTGCTCTTCGCGAGTACGTCCCCACACCAAAATATCCAAGTAACAAATGGCGCCATTACAACCCTTAAGAATAATTGACATCATTTTCTGAAACACTGCAGGGGCAGATGCAAGCCCGAAACACACGCGGCGATACCGAAACAAGCCTTCGTGCGATACAAATGTGGTCACGTCTCTACTGCACTCAGAAAGTTCAACTTGGTGATAAGCGGACGCGAGGTCCAGCTTGGAGAAACATACCGCTCCGGAGAGCTGATGAAGCAGTTCTTCAATGTGAGGAAGTGGAAACCCGTCTACGACGATTGCCTTGTTCGGTTCGTAAGTCGACGCATAGTCGAAGGGATCCATCTTTTTCTTGATGACGACCAGTGGAGAAACCCAGTCGGAAGCAGAGACAGGCTCGATGATTCCGCTGGCTTGAAGGCGAGACAGTTCCGCAGAGACTTGCTCACGGAGAAGAAGAGGAATGCGGCGCAGCTTGGCACGCACAGGGCACACACCTGGTCGACCCATCACTTCATGCACAAAACCACGCACACCCCAGTTGACGGGTGAACAGGTGGTGGAATTCAGAAGGCGCGTTGGCCGGAAGATCATGTTGGACGTCGACTTGAGCACACGTCATAGACGCACCGACGTTGATGGAGAAAGCCCTGATGGCATCACGTCCCAACAGTGAGCTGCCATTGGCTGTTGCATAAAAAGTAATGGAAGCAGTGCGACTGCAATAAGAGACCTGAGCTGTAAATGGAGCTAAATTATCAATCGTTCCTTTGGAATATGTTTGTAGAACGACGTGTGAAGGCAAAAGCCGAATGTTGGAAAAATGACTGTGAAAGTCAGCGGCACTGATTAAAGAGACTGATGCACCAGTGTCCACGAGAAATGACAAGGGCACATGGCCCACTGAAACTACGATGCTGGGCTCGGACGTAGTGTGGAGGCCATCCACATTTAAAACAGTGACCGTATTGGTTTGTGCAGTGCTCGAAGGAGCGGACGAAGAAACTGGTTCCGGAAGATTGCTGGACGGGAATTGCATACGGACTGAAAATGTCCGATTTTTCCGCACGCAAGACAAGTGTGGTTTCTCGCGGGACACTGCGCAAAATTGGCTAAATGCTGAGCCGATCCACAACGAAAGCAATGCGCGGTTGCGCTTGGAGAAGAAAATTGCGAACGCGAATTAGGAGCTCGGTGCTGTTCCTGAAAACCAGAATTTGGCGGAATGGGGTCGCCATATTGCCGGCTTCCTCGCCACCGTGACGCAGAGGGGCCGCCATGTTGGCCGCCGCGCCGAGACGAAGATGAAGGGCCGCCATGTTGGCGCGTCCCGTGAAACGAAGAGCCGCCGCCTTGGCCCCCCGCAGCAGAAAGTTGCTGCACTGGATGCGGAGCGAATTGCTCCAACTGGGAGCAAATAAGCTCGTCCTCTCGCGCAATCGAGAGGGCTTCGGATAATGAAATCGAGGAGCCCTTTGAAGCATGCGGCAGCGGACGTTTTGCGAGGTTACCCCGGTGAAAAGCTGATGGCGGATCATATCGTCCTCGAGCACGCCGAAGCCGCACGACGCGGCGAGCGTTCGAAGAGAAGTAATGAACTCGGCGACTGGCTCACCAGGCAATTGTCGCCTTTCTTGGAATTTCACGCGTGCGAGATAATCGCACGAAACATCTTTAAAATGCTCATCGAAAAGAGCAACAGCATTCTTGAAGGCATCGCCCGACGCTGGCGCCGGCGACGCGTTGGTGGCGTCCAAAGTATAGAAGAGCTTTAACCCGGCAGGGCCCAAAGCGTTGAGCAGCAGGGCCTTGCGACGCTCGGGCTTGCTGGCGTCCTCCCCGACCGCGTCTGCGTAGGCCTGGAACACCAATTTCAGTCCGCCCACGGCAGTGGCGGGTCTCCGGGCGAATGAAGAAATAGGGGAGGTGGAATAGGAGACGCCATTTCAAGCAAGAAGAATGGAGATGTGCAGACGAGACGAAATTGACGCCAGTACACTGTTTGAGAAGACGACAGAGGCGGCGTAGCTAAATGAAGAAGGAATGAAGCGACGAAGCACGCAGTAGCCACCTTGCTGAGCACAAAGAGCGTCTAGGGTTAGCAGGGTAGGTCCATTAGAAGCAAGAAAAAGACGAACACGGTGAACGAAATGGGTTCTTACAGGTCCTCGTCGCCATATCTGTGTTGGGGCTGGCTGGTCCCGACGAAGCAGAAGACGGCCGACGGAGACGTACGCGGCCGGCGGGGACACCGACCAGCCCGAACACGCGGGTTGGCGCGAAGCGCCGAAAGAAAGCCCAACAACTGCACTCCACGGTTACCTAACACACACTGTCTTTATTTTACAGTCGCCTTGAAATCCTAGATTAAGGTCCCTAGATGAGACCTTATCCTAGATGCCAGAGCGGCGCCCCCTGGCATCCTCACATGTCAATACGAAACCGAAACCGAAAACCCAGAACACAACAGGGTGGTTAGACGATAACCTGTTTGCTCTTAGTCGGTGTATATAAATATCTAAAATATAAAACGGGCCCTTGTAAGAAGCTTATTTGGACATCTCTGGGGCGTATGACAACGTTAATCAGGAAATTTTGTGGATATCGAAGGAAGTGGGCATAGGTGGCGACTGTACACAGCTTTTGAGAGAGGTATATCGATAAAATATGGTTTGCATAGAATGGGAAGGAATAAGTAGCAATTACAGCATTTAAATTAACAAGGTGCTGAAACAGGGATGTCCTGTCTCCACTGTTATCCATGCTGTTCATGGTGAGGATGGAAAAAAGCGCTAGAAGGTATTAGGTTTCATCTGTCACACAAACAGGCGGGCGCGAAGGTTGAACAGAAGCTTGCAGGTCTATTTTATGCAGACGATATTATCCCATTTGCGGACAGTCAAGACGATATACAGCGGCTGGCAGATATGCAGAAGGGAAGGCGGTACTCTAGGACCAGGATTTAGTGCCACAAAATGTGGATTGATGGTGTTCAATGATCACGAAGACCAGGCGGTCTCATCAATACAGGGCCTAGAAACGCCGAGGGTAAGCGAGTACAAGTACTTCCGAGGGAGTATGGGTAAATGAGGGATACCGATTATGGAGGTACAGGAAAAAAACATCGGCAGCAAAGGGAAAGAGGATATGCTGCAATAAAAAAGCACAGAGCGTTATGGGGATACAATAGGTACGAAGTGCTTCGAGGTATGTGGAAAGGCGTAATGGTTCCAGGGCTTAGATTTGGGAACTCAGTGGTGTGCATGAAGTCATAGGTGCAATCAGGAATGGATGTAAATCAAATTACTGTGGGACGCCTCGTCGTGGGCGCTCACGGGAAGACGACGTTTGAGGCTGTAAAGGGGGATATGGAATGGACAGGCTTTGAAGTAAAGGAAGCCCAGTGCAAAATGAGATTTGAAGAGAGACTTAGGAAGATGAAGGAGAGCAAATAGGCACAAAATGCGTTCAGGTATTTATATAGGAAGAGCGTGGACACAAAGAGGGGAAAAATAGCTATAGGAGGCTCACCAGTAAATATGCGGCTGGCAATGTGGGCGATATATGGCAACAAGTAGCATTAAGAGAAAATTCAAAGAGGTGGAGAGTATTTATTGGACGACAGCGATGGAAAAGAAGTGGGCTCTCAGTTACTACCGAAAAGGCAAGAACGAAATATGGCGGGATACGTTTTATGATAACTCAAGGGGAAGCGCTTTACTGTTCGAAGTGAAATTGGGTTGCCTTAGAACACGTAGTCATAAAGCGAGATTCAATGAAGAAGAAGCATGTACATGCTGTCGGGGGAGCTAAATAAACGATGGAACATGTTCTGATTGAATGCGGCGATATCCATCTAGGTATACGTGTGGGTACAAGCCTACATGAGGCTTTGGGTTTTAGGGACGAACATGGAAAGCTGAACACGTCTGCGATAGAAGCAAGTAAGGGACGGTTAGAGTAGTGGTGGCAGAAAAGTAAAGATAAAGGACAGAAATAGTGGGAAAATGTGGTCATTCTACCTGAAGAGCAGAGAAATGGAACATAAATTTATATTTTCTTTGTTATAATAAGATCGATTTAATCGAAGTAGATAAGGCATTAGGCCAACATAAAGAAAATGTGTTGATCTTTTTTTCTTGTGAGCCTGGTAGTATACGTGTCACCGCCCCGTTATAAAGGGGACGCTCATAGCTAGCAATCATTCATCCTAGTTGACGATTTCGTTTAGTTGACGCTGCTTAACGAACGGATGGCCAGGCATACAAACGAATAGACGGACGGACGGATGAAAGCACAACATATGCTGCGATGGCGACATATCCACGGAGTGAACGATGATGAGTTGGGCGAAGCGTCCATCCGTCCATCCGATATTCCAGTAATGGAATTCCGTATTGAAATATAAACCTAGCGGGGTCCGTCGGGGGCTAATTCCATGCAAGACATTGCAGACAAGGCAATGAAACTTCTTGTTTTCTCTAAATATTCCTACGCAGAAGCATTAAACTTGGACTACGTCTGAAAGGTGTTACAAGCGCTCTCCATTAAAGTGATTAAAAAATGCTGCCTTACGGTTACTGCGAAATACGAAACACTTTTGCTCACTCTATCGCGGGGCATGCTGGCAAAAGTGAACTCGATTATCCACTCTAACTGCAATGCGTTATGTAGGTAGTCATCTGAATTAATTATTTATTTATTTAGATGCGATAAACACTGCTTTGGTGTATATTTTGTATTTTTAAGAACCACGGTGCAGTGATAACTTTAGCTAAACTAAAATCACGTTTGGCTGCTTTTCTGGCTCCGAAATAAAATAACGACTGCTAGTTGGCTACTGTTTTGGCTGCTTCTGGCAACCCTGCCTCGTTAAAGAGAGAGCACGTGTATTTGTTGATCCTTGCTTTCGGATCTCCGGAATGGCTTCGAGTGTCACCCATTCTTTATGACGATCAGTACTCTCGGTTGCCCAACTATGACTGAAAAAACGTTGAGATCTATTTCGACGTTATTCCTCGCCTGCGTTCCGGTCGCCGAACTGAGGAAATTGCTGGTAAGTCGGTGGCGATCGACTTCTTCAATGACTCAAACTTCGCCATATGCGTGATAGACAAGTTCATCGCACAGTTCTATGATGTAACTCGTTGGTACAACTCGCACAAATGATCGCTTACGAATCCTCGTAACATTCGCGCATGCAGGATACGGTGCCGAGGGAACTACTGACGCAGGAATTTCAGGAAGCGTTGATCGACCGCACAGTTCTCCATCCTACTGCGTTAGCTTACCCGCCGAGGCCGGCGTACATAATCAATTTCCTCAAGTGTCTCATCAACAAGGTACGACGGCTCGCCAACGACTGACATCGCGGTCTCCGGCGACTCCTGGCTAACCGCAGAATCACCCTCGCTTTCGCAGCTAGAAGAAAAAAATGTCGAGATCACAGACAGCCTGTACGTCCACTTTGCCGAGAAACTCGGAGGTGTGAACAGCGACGAAGACATCCCCGGCTTCGTCACGTACACCATCGTGAGTTTTTTTCCCGCTGCGTTTGATTGTTCCAGTTTTTTGTTTTTTTTTTCGACCGAGCGATGGCGTAATTATACATGGCGGATCGATTGTATTCGTTCTAGGACGCTCGCACGACAGTCACGTTAAAAGAACATGCGGCTTTTGTGGTTGGTGGGACGACAGGCCTCACAACATGGCAGGTGAGACTCCTTGCTTACGAAGCCGTGTATTCCGCGCAAGGTGCGAGAATGTGGCGATCCGTGAGTGCGTAGAAACCACCAGGAACGGCACGGATTTCTGGCACCAAGATCGGCCGTTACCACAGGTACACTTCAGAACGAAGAAGCGATAGTAGAGGGCGCTATCTTAAAAAGGCCCCCGCACTAGCATCTTTTCAGGTTTTGTCAGCATAGAGAAAGCTAAAGTGAAAGGCGGGGAGGCTAACCAGGCGAAAGCTTTCTGGATTGCTAGCGAAGAAGGATACCTGCGGCAGCATCAGTCAGTACCAATAAATTTCCTTAAGGTTTCTGTAGCAACATTTAAAGTTCATGTCGCCAAGCACAAAGATTAAGGCACATGTCACCGAACACTAAGATTAAAGCACGTATCTCTTGATTGTAGTGATAGAGAAATCCAAAGCTACAACCGAAGGCCCTTCAATAGATCCCAGCTCGTGATAAACACTGGGGCCGCACATTTAAACTTCGCTGGTTAACCGTTTGTACAAAGCACTTAAGCGGTGCTTTTTATTTTATTTTTCTTTATTGGTTTTTTTACTGATGGGCCTCAATTTAATTAACTTGTTTCTATCCAATTTTTTTTTTTGTGGGACATTCACGTAATCACATGGACGTCCTTACCAAAAGCATAGGTTGTTCTTTTATATTCCTGCTTAAAACTTTGCACAGTTCATTAGTTTATCGGACGATCCCAAAAGCTTGTCAGCCATGGGCTTGTTGCACATTTTACTGCAGGTATGGCCTTTCAGAGGCTACTGCTTACTAGGATTTACCATTTTAACTTTGCTTTAGGTGATGATTATAATGACATTACGTTTTTCCTTGTAG